ATAAACATAAACAGATGCATAGATTTATATAACTTTAAGATGACAATTCGTTTTAAAGAAACTTCTGGAAGAAATTTATGAGAAATCCAGTTATTGCTTTTAATCTTACAGATGTTTTGATCAATGGAAAATAGAAATAAATTCTAAACTCATTTCAAGAAGCTTTAAAAATTATGTTTGAGGAGAATTTCTTGGCCAAATGAAAATTGTTAATGCGTTGCTATGGGGGTTGTCAAGGGCGTTTAAAAATGTAAGGATCATTAAAGTTTGTTTTCCTCAAGTTATATACTGAATTTTAAAAAATGGTTTTTAAAATATGATTCTATAATAAATTTTAAATAAAAATAAACAACAAAATTTTTTTTTCAAAATTTGATATTTCTGAGGGGTATACCACCTTAAGTTTGACAAAACTAAAAAGTTTGAAAATAATAAAAAATAAAAAAGTTTGAAAAAATAATTTACAAATCCGTACATATGCGTATACATATCCAATAAACTTCATAATATATATTTAAATATACAAAAGATATTTTGAATTAAAAAAGATTCCGAACATTTTATAGATTTAAGTTCATCTACTCATATTTTTTTTTTTTAGACAAAATTAAAACAGACAAACAAAAAAAAACAAGAAGAATATATATAAGAAGGATATATGTATATATACATATACACACATACATATACATATACACATACACACATATACACATATACATATATACATATATATACATATATGCATATACATATACACATATACATATATATATATATATATATATATATATATATATATATATATATATATATATATATATATATATACATACACACACATACATACACACACATACATACATATATATACACATACACACGCAAAATACATATATATATATATATATATATATATATATATATATATATATATATATATATATATATATATATATATATATATATATATATATATATATATATTTTTAATTAAAAAAATGAAAGAATATACGTATTGTTTAAATTTAGTAAGTGATTTTTTATAGCTCTTTTAAATATATCAATAGATTTTATTTTTTTCATACTTTCGTCAAGAACCGAGTTCCACAAGCGCGGTCCCTGACATGTAATTGAGAAGTCAGACTTTTTGAGTAATGTTAGCGGGATGTAGTTATTATTTATTGAGTGTCTTGTTTTATATTTAAGAATAATAAGAGAAAATTTTTCATAAAAATATTTTGGAATTAACTCGTTTTGAAGTTTAAACATAAATAACAAGTTATGGTAGATGTTTAATTTGTATCTATCCATGCCCGAAACTAATTGACTTGCTTGCTTTTGTTTTGTGTAAATAGTTTTTAGGAAAGATGAGTGATTGTTTTCCCAGGCAATATTACAATAAATAATATGACTATGTATAAATGAAAAATATAAGTTTTCCAATTTAAATGTTCGTCAAAAATTATTCCAAGTATTTTCATTGAAAACACTCTGTTTATTTTAATATTGTTAATAGTTAGTTCTGGTAGTGTAAGTGGAAGATTCTCGGATTTTGATGGTTTAGCAAACAAAATATATTTTGTTGTTTCAATATTCAACGAAAGTTTATTTGCTATAAACCACTCATTGAGATATGTTAGTTCAGTGTTTACATTACAAAAAATATTTTTTAAATTTGAATCAGAATAGAAAACATTAGTGTCGTCAGCAAAAATAATATAATTAAGTATTTTTGATGACAAATAAATATCATTAATATAAATTAAAAACAGTAAAGGTCCAAGTATTGATCCTTGTGGAACTCCACAATTTATTGACTCAAATGGGGAGCATGTTAAATCAAATGGTACTACTTGTTTACGATTTTCTAAATAACATTGCAGCCACTTTAAGTTAGAGTGAGCTACTCCGTAATTACATAGTTTGTTGATAAGAATCTTGTGGTTGACAGTATCAAAGGCTTTGGATAGATCTAGAAATATTCCGAGAGTGTAACTATTGTTTTCAAAACCATTTAGAATTTGGTTCGCAAGATCAATTACTGCATGCTCCGTGGAATGGTTTTTGCGAAAACCAAACTGTTTATGATAAAGAATGTTATTAGTTTCAAGATAATTGTACAGCCTGTTGTGCATAATACGCATAATATTTTAGAAAAACAGGAAAGTATGGAAATTGGTCTATAGTTAGATTTTATCGAATCATCGTCGCTTTTGTATATTGAAATTATTTTTGCTAGTTTTAGTTGGTCAGGAAAAATGCCGAATATTTGAATATTTGAATATTAAAAATGCCGAAAATTTGAATACATAGAACTCTGAATATTTAAAGGTGGTATTGACAGAACAACTCAGTGCAATCAATAATGCATCTTTTACATGGGTATGGTTTTTAAAAACATTTGGGCAATTTTCAAATCAATTTGTTCTCTAGAATGCCAAAAAGGTGTCCTACAAAGTACAAATAATTAATCCAGAATTTTATTTGTTATGATATTTTTGTTTTTGACAACTTAAACAACCATCCAATATGAGAAAGGGCTTATCCTTTTTTAAAATAAGTGTCATAAAAAACTGATCAATTGCTCTTATTTTTGGTTTCGGCCCTTTTTTATGCATTGATTCTATAATGTTGTTTTTTTTTAAGACACTTAACAACACTTGAAAATCATAAAACTTTAAAAACTCACAGTTTATCACCTTGGTCCACCAAAAAAATATATCATTGAATCTGTCTAAATTTAAACCAGTTATAAATTTAAACAATTTTGGTTCAGTGAAAATTTTTTTCATAACTAAACTTTTTTTTATTCTTAATTTAACCTCATCATTATTCTTGGAGTTAAGCAATAAAAACTTGCTGTATGTACTCTGACAGTTTTTATTTTATTAGTTATTTTATTACATATAATTAAATTTTTCATTTTATAAAAAAGTTAACAACAATACATAGTCAAATACTACTGAACAGTAGAACTTAAAAGGTTAATGTGTGTTTCATAAATTTGATTTTTAAGTTTTTAGTTTATTTTGTATTTTAAAGGTTCTCGATAAATAGTCTTTTGCGAGTTTCCTTTACTACAATATTTTTATTATAACTATTTTCTAACTAAATAAATTATTATAATTTACTAACATACATTTTCAATGACAACACAAGCAAATCCCTAGTAGCCAAGTGGTGTGACGGACTTGCATATGTTTTTTAAATGCATTGGTTAATAGTCAATATTATGTTATTACAAAACTCAAATTTTTTTAATTATCTAACCTGAAATATATTAGTTTCAAATTGTTGTTAATATTTTTTTATTTAGTTACTTGAAAGTTTAGCAAAGGTTTTAAGTGGATTTAAAGAGAACTTTCTCAGAATCTTTAGCGAATAGTCTATTTTAATGGTTAGTCAATTAATAGCCAACATTGTAATTTGACTTTTTACTAAAATACTAATATCTACAAAATATTAAATTTTCCCTATAAAGTAAGACTAGGTTTACCTTCTTAAGCATGTGGTTTTTACTTTACTTGTTGTATAGGGGCCGTCCATAAAGTAAGCTCATAGGGAGGAGAAGGTGGAAAGTGGGTTTTAAAATAGCGTACAAAAGCGGATGAGGGAAAGGTTCAATTTAAAAATACGTTTTTCGTTTTACTTATCTATCACAATTAACAAGTACTTGTTAACAACTAAATAATTTTGAATAAACATCAACTTTAAAATAATAGTAATAATAATAATAATAATAATAATAATAATAATAATAATAATAATAATAATAATAATAAAAACCATACTGCATCATCGTTGTCCATAGTTCGCCAGCTAACCGATAGAAAAGTTATTTTTTTGACTAAAAATCCTAGTTTGCCAACATAAAAGGATGTATGGTATAAGGGAGTTAAGGGTTTAGTGTCCCTCTATTCACACACATGTAACCCATTTATACACTGGCCCTAAGTATAGTGGATTTGTATTTCAGGCAACCCCAAAGCCTAAGATCTTCTTTTTTTTAAATAAATTTGCGTTGCATAATTTATGGACTATCCCGTTCACTGTTATGAGTTATATAATTGACTTAAGATTCATAATGTTTGCTCTATCTCCTATCCGCTAAAGAACTAAAGTGTTATAAAAGTTTGGAGTCTTATAACTTTTTTCTTTTTGGCTGGGTAAAGGAAATTAGTTTAAAGTTATTTGATGAAAAATGTTTGGTTATTGGAAAGGTAACAAATTTTAATATTTGTATTTTATTAAAAATAATTTAACGTTAAATTATTCGTGAATAACATAATTCTATTTTCTCTCATGGTAGGTTTATCATTCTCAAAAGTATAATGAAACAGCGATTTCAACATAGCTCATTTCTGAAATGGATCGAGAAGTGATGTATACTCGTTGTAACTGCTAGGCCTTGGAAAGGCATGTTAAATACAATTTTATTTTATATTGATGCTGCGGTCAAAAGAAATTTAACTTTTTGTAAGGGCACCAACAAAATAAAAATTTCCCTTAAACAAAATATACATTTGGCTTTAGAAAACATTTTATGTATGAGTAAACATACATAATATCTTTTTAGGAATAGTCCAAAACAGTATGATAAATTTGAAAACACTCATCAGGATGTAACCCGGGTTGTGATAGACAGAAATTACAAACAAAAACAGTTTTCAAAGGATGTCCTTTGGCATCTTTTGAGGTGTCTAACATTTCCTGACTTGCATGTTGGTAACATTGAAGGAAAGTGTCTTCCTGTAAGTCTCTCAAAATCCTCTCCAACAACAAGACAAGGGTTGCGAGGGATCTCAGGGGTTAGAGAAAATATCAGCTTTATGTTACTCAGCAAAAAATCCAAGTATGAAATGTGCCTGCCAGTACTATGTGTATAAATCTTTTGTGAATTTAAAGTACATTGAGAAATTAGACGAAAAGCTAACTTCTTGTACCATTTATAGGATTTTCGAAGGGCCTGAATTCCATGTAGTTGCTGGTCTACCCGGTCAATCAGGTCCCATCAACTCTATTGGTATACGTTGGCTTGAAGACATTGTAGAATTTTTGTCATCATCGTACATTCCAATACCACAGTACACTAGGAAATCAAGTGTAATACCATCAGCTGTAGTCAACTCATATACCTTTATTCCAAATCGTGCTCTTCTTGTCTTTATATATTGACGAAAATGCAATCTGCCCTTAAAAAGAACAAGCAATTCATCAACACTCAAGTGTTGTCCTGGACTGTAAACTTTTCGACAACGCTCTTTGATCATGTTAAGGAATGGTCTGACCTTATGCAATTCTCTATTAGGATCATTAGGATTATGATTAGGATCATTATTGTTATTGAAATGAAGAAATTTGAGGATAACCTTGAAACGGTCTTGAGACATGGTTTTCGAAAAGATTGGTGTCCAATAAAGATCATTGGTGGACCAATACATGCTCAAATTTGGTTTATGTACAATACCCATTAATATAATTAGACCAAAAAAGGTTTTCATTTCAACTGCTCTAACAGCTTTCCAATTCTTAAGGTAAGAATTATTGGCCTTTTCAGGGTGATTGCTCAAAAAGTCTTTGCAGTATCAGTTAGTTTCAAAAACAATATGTTCTAAAATAGCATTGGTTAGGTAAGCTTCAAAAAACTCAAGTGTACTGTCTCCTCCTATTCTAACATTTAGACCTTCAGTAGAAAGGAATGAAAAAGTGTCATTAGATATTTCCTCATTATCAGCATCAACATGCTCCCATTTCTACTTCCACCTCTGGTTCTCACACGTTTCTGGGGCTGTGAAACATTATAAGATAAATTTTGAGTTTCATAACATTCTTTTTCACTATCGGATTCAATACTTATATCAATAGATGATTCCTCATAAATTTCTTCTTCAGTTTCAGATTCTACAATCAGGTCATTATCTGCTCTCTCCTCTGATAAAGAAATATCATTGCAGAAATATTGATTTTAAGGTGTATTTGTGATGGATGGTAAAGGTAAAACTAAATTTTGAACTGGTAAACCTTCAGACAAGGGTAGTAGTTCTTCATTTTCATAATCTAAAATACTTTCACAATCATTAGAGTTTTGAAGATCAATATGAATATCGCTACCTACATCACTATCATCAAACAAAATATCAAGTATCTCATTCATATCAGTATAACTTGTTCGATTTTTAGCCATTTTTCAAAATTAATTTTTAACCGAACTATAAATGCAAATGACAAACGGTTTGAAGTATGAACTGTAGAAATTATTCCTATTTCAGATTTATATTTAATGTTTTTTCAAACCTCTTTAGATGTTCAGAAAAATTTAAAATTATTGATGGACCACTAGGCGGTTCACTCGTTATTTAGAAACAGATTTTATGCACCATGGCACGGGTCACGCGTTAGGAAAGGGTTATTGACTTACTAGAAAACTTATAAACAACTTTCATTAACCGAATTAATGGCTTATGTTGATTAGTGTCCACTAAGCGTGCGGTAAAAAACTCAAACGGATATTTGCTGCTTACTGCTTCAAATCAGTAAGTAAATCTCTTAAGTTTTAGGTAAATCTAAACTCAGTTTTATAACTTTTAACCGAATACGTCATATAATATACGTAATATTAGACGCTTATTAGAGGTCGATTCATATAAAGACCTTTAATAGTTAAATTTAGTGTTAATCAATTAGGATATAACTTGAATAAATAAAATTCTCTATTTAGTACAACATTATAATGTTTAGAAACTTTTTAATCCTTTAGCATAATTTAGTAACAATGTCTGCTAAACGTAGATCATCCAGGATAGATTTAAACAATGTTTACTAAACATTAGACCCTCCAGCATAATAATGTCTGCTAAACATTAGTTAAAATTGATCTCGAAATTTTTCGATCAATTAAATGCTTTTCTAATATATCACTGTATAGTTCATAGCCCATCAGACGATAAGCTAATGGTAGCAAATGAAGAATGATGCGATTCAGTGATTCGTCACCGTGCGAAAACAAGTTTACACCTAATTCGTAGCCCATACCATAATCACATTCGTCATTTGCAAATTGAACCAGAGTAATGATTTCTTGAAGTTCATCGAATGCCTCATTCTTTAAATCATCATTTTCTGCTTTAGTAATCTTTTGAAGCAACTTTTTTAATTCCTCTAAATGCAAAAGATAAAAACACGAATATGTTTGTAGTTATATATTATAATATATAACATATATACATAACATATCTATGTTAATATGTAACATAGATACATAACATATTTATGCTAATATGTATATAACATATATACATAACATAGTGTATGCTTTTATGCTATTATTCATTATTATTATTAAATACTTTTTATTTAAAAAAATTATTTTAAAAATCTGGCAAACTTATATTTATATAGATCTAAAACTGTACTCGATCATAATGGGTTGGAGGTTGTATAAAATGATATAACTTCTATCACCCTTACTTATTTAAAAAGTTCTTAATTTTTCATAAAAAGCTTATCAAACTGAGTTCAAAAGAACTACAGTTTTAAAACTACATTTATATAAAATAATGATATAATTGTTTAGTTTATTTACCAATTAACATTTTATATAGCATTTTTTAGTTACTTAAATTATGTAAACTATTTATATATTATTTATATTTTATAAAGTAATTATGTTATTATATATTATTTATACTGTATAAACTATTTATATATTATTTATATTAGATAAAATATTCATATATTATTTATATTAGATATATTATTTACATATTATTTATATTAGATAAAGTATTTATTATTATTTATATGTTCTTGCTTACAAATTGCTCAACCACTAGATAGAGCGATTTGTAAGCAAGAAGCATGAAAATCAAACCTTCCTTGAAGTATGATAAGTACTATGATCCTCTGTGCAGAAGCCTTGCTCATCAAAGTTTTCCTTTTGGGAGTAATTGAGTTGAGGGAGAGTTATAGTACCCCTCAAACCTTGAGAATTTAAGATTCTAGATTAGAATTCTAATTTCAAAATATAATTTTAAAATTTAAATTTAATTTTACTTCTTTTGAGATACAGATATGTTTTCCAAAATAATAACCATCAAATAAACAAAAATAACCATCAAATAAAAATAATAACCATCAAATAAACAAAAATCTTGAATCCTCAAAAAAAAAAAAGAGTTGTTAAATTGAGCTAAAATTATGTAGAGAAATTATATAGTAAACTACTTAAAAATTTTTTTTTTACAAATTTTCTATTTCTTATTTCCAAGTTTTTTTTTAGCTTTACCGAAGTTAGAATGAAGTATTACAATAAAATGTTTTGATGTCAAACTTTAGGCAAAGATGATTTAAGAAAAAGCTGCTACAATTGTATTGGAAATATTGTTTCAACAATTATTAATAAATAAATTTAAATTATAATCAAAAAATTATAATAGAAAAAAGATAATGGATTTAAGTTGATGGATTTAAGAAAAAGTTGGTACCTTTGAATTGGAAATATTATTTAAACAATTATTAACAAATAAATTTAAAATATATTCAAAAAAATATAATAAAAAAAATGTTTAATGTAATATAATAGAATAAATAAGTATAATATAATAGAAAAAATTGGTTCAAATAAAAATATGTAAATGTAAAACCCCGAACTTGTTATTTAAATTTAGAACTAATTTTAATATATAATAATATTAAAAATTAGTTCTTATTTTATATATTAAATTCGGAGTTTTACATTTACATTGCACAGTTTTTCTTCACTTATGTCATTTTCCCACCGCAAAGGAGCTTTATCTGCCCCATATAATACAATATAATGGAACCTCATGGCATCAAATTTGCTTAAAATAAAGAGAAAAGGCTAATTTGCTTTCACAGAAACAGTAGAAAAAAAATAATTTTATGTTTTGTTTTGGAATATAATCAAACAATTTTTAACAACCAAAATTATTTTCATAAATAAAAACAAAATCTCATTAAAATTTTTTTTTTATAATTACTGGTTGCAGTCTTAGATATTTGAATAGCTAAGTGCAAGCATTTAAAAAATGTCATCCAAAAACTCTGATTCTTTCAAAGTTATTTTTAAACAATAGTAACACATTAAAACACAAAATGTTTTTTATTTAATGAAAAGAATAAAAGATGAAAGAATTATAGTTTTAAAAACTTTATAAATAATATTAAATTATATACTATTTAATATTTTATTCTTTTTTTTTTAAAAAAAAAAGCAAAAAACAACCTTATAACAGCAACAACAAAAATTTACAAGAAATATTATACATATTATATTTATTATATTAAATATCATACTTACTTTCTGAACATGGAAGTTCTCTGTAGCCAACGCCATTTTTGTCAACTGGAATCACAAGACCAATTTTATTAAGACAGATAGCTTTAACTTTTTTGTTTCTTTCTTTGATTTTTTGACTAGTTGCAGCCAATGAATAACCATGATCTTTAGCAAATAATTCCAAATGTTTTATGAACAAATTTATAGACTTAGTTAGTCTTGTTTCTTTAGATAAAAGTTTTTTTGAATAACCACTATGTATAAAAATATACTTTTTGTTTAATGTTAAAAATAAGGAAAAAAGTAACACTGTAGTTTTTTAATTATTTTAAAAATACATAAGTTCAAATAGCTTCAGTTACTTTGAAAAAAAAAAATTGAAATATTTTTTTCTAAGAACTTACTAAAACTTACTAAACAGCTGCAAATATATTATCGCCACAAATTGATAGATCGCCATTCTTTTTTGAATGATTTGAAACTAAAATCTGAGGAACATCATCAGGAGCATCTCTATTAAAGTCATTAACAAGGAAGTCTATAAACATTGGTAACTATTAGTAACAAATAAGAAAAATGTAAAATAGTTAAAAGCCAATATTATAATTTATCATTTTACCCATAAAAATTCCTCACCTAAAATATCCTATATGAAAACCATCATCATCCTTGGAATAAAGTAAAGTGATTATTTCAGGAAGATCATAATAAAATCTTCCATGCATATACAGTTCAACTTTAGTCAGCTCAGTTTCTTTTTTTATTTTTCCAGTTAAAACATCATATGGACCAGTGAATGCTAAACCCACAGCATCTATATCACTTTCTGAAATTAAAAATAGCATTGTCTTGTTTTAATATATTAAGTATATAACATTTTAATATTTTAAATTTATTAACTTTAAAATTTTCGTACTTGGTAATGTCAGGGTTCCCACTATTAAAACAGAGGCTAAAATTAAGTATTTTAAAGAGATTTAAGGAGATATTTTCCTAATTTTTAGGAGATTTGGTCGACAATTAAACGACGATTTTTTGAAAAAAAAAATAAATATATATAAAATATAGGCTTGCTAACTATCAAAGAACTATAACTTTTTTTCTTTTTTAATAAGTATAACACAAGTCAACAACTTATGTTTTTTGAAAACTCTATAAAAATACGATTCTTTTGAGGCCCAGGTAACAAATAAGAAAAGAAAGAGCCCTTTTGAATTATTTTTTATTTTTGACAACATCAAGGATATAAACCCAAATGTTAAAGATTTGGGCCCAAATATCTTTACAACTTGAAGTGATGGTAAAAAATGAGTTGCATATTTGAAATCAAAATGAGAAATGCTATACAAAAAACAAATGGTTTTCTCGGCACAAGAACTTTTTAATTTTTATTAATCTGTATAATCCACTTTAATAAAATTTCTGAGATAATTAAAAAAAAAATACGAAGAAAATAAGGAGAGTAGTCAAATTTTAACTTTTTTTAAGGTTATTTAAGGACATTTAAGGAGGTTTTTATTTTTTTAAAGGTTTTTAAGGAGGAGTGGGAACCCTGAATGTTGTTAAAGAAACCATTTTTGGAGAAACAAAAAACTCAAAAAAATTTAACCAAAAAATTATATTTGGATTACCCTCCAAATATAAGAATTGGATTAAACTCCAAATATGAGAAACTAAATAATTACTTCTTAAAACGGTTATACTCTGTTTAACGGTCTCTCTCTTAAAACTCTGTTAAACTAAAAACATTAAACTCTGTTTAAACGATTTCTCTCTGAAAGTTTAACTGTTGTAGACAAAATTAATTGAACTATTTTTTCATTTTTTTACTTTTACAATGAATAAATAAAACAATCAAAAAATTTAATATTGCAATTAATAAAATGCTAAGTGAATAAATGAAATAATCGATAAATTTTTTTGACACTATTAATACAATATTTATCAGCGAAATGGTATCATATATGAAATTTTATTGAAACATTTTTAGAAAATGTTGTGCATTTGATCAGAGAAAAGTTTACTTTTATGTAAATATTTAGATGTGTTTTCATATGTTCTTTCATTTATTTAAATAATTTTCACGCATAAAAAAAAAACATTAAACATCCATATTATTATGTAAAAAAAATATGTAAAAAAATGTAAAAATATAAAAATATGTTTAAAAATAATTTTTGTTATGAAAATAAATGTATAAAAATACAAAAATGCATAAAAAAAAAAAGCTATTTAAAAACCAAATCATAGAGATTTTAAAAATTAAAACAACCTGGATTTTGCTGTGTAAAGTAATAGAAATCATAAAAATCGTCAGAGAATTTAACACCCCACTTTGCAAGGAAATTTTCAGAAAACTCATGTTTAAACCGATTTTCTATGTAAAAATAAATAATAATAAATTATTTAATATGCAAAATTTTAGCAAACAATACTAGTACAACAGTCTATATTTAGTAAATAATTAATTTTGTTTAGTAAATTTAGGTACCAGATGTAAGTAAAATCTGAAAAAAGTAAAAGATACATTCTTATAAAAATATTATCTTTTAACAATTTTGACAGAATAAATAAAACATCACTTTTTTTGAATTTTTTATAGAAAAATAATGATTTCTAAAAAACAGTAGTTTATAAAGAATCATTGCTCAACCTGTTTCTATTTCTTTTAGTGGTTATGTAATGATTTGTTTCAAAGGAAGGGGTATTTTTATAATTTTTTATCTAAATAATGTAAACAATAGTCAACCAAAATTAGGAAAAATAAGGTTGGCAATAAATTGCTGATCTCAAACTGTTTGAGGTCGGCATAAAGTCAGCATAAAATATTTAACACAAAGGAGTTACCGTAAAACATAAAAACAAGGACGGCAATTTTTTACCAACTTTAAACACTTAGAGGTAGGCAGTTAGATCAGCATTGCCGAATGCCAACACTAATTCCTAAGGTTGAATAATTGATGATTATTATTATGAATATGGGAATTGCAAGATGCTAAATAAATATGATTAGAACTGATTTATAAATTGTGAGAGCAGCTAACAAATAACAAAAACTTCGAATATCTGATGGCATTATTTGTCATCAGAAGCAAAAAATCAATTCAAATAAACAAAACTTTAAATAAGGGGTTGTCAATAAATTACCTCACCCAACTTTCAACACTTGTAAATCCTCCCCCCCCCCCTCATTGCAACGTAACTCTTTAGTAACAAGTTCCATACAGGTAATCACAAAATCACCAACTTAACCCTCCTCCATGCCTAGAGCATAATTAAACTAAAAGATTATTTACATTTAATGTAAAAATTATTATTATTAAATAAAGTAAAGATTATCTACATTTCACATAACAAACTAATATAAAATAACTATTAGCTCTTTTTAAAAATGAATAAAGTACCAAAAACTATAAAACACAAAAAACCATCATCATCACCAAGTTCTCTAAACATATCATTCACTAAAATTCCTGGTCTTCAAAGAAACTTTTCTTCTGTTGAGTCTTATATCTTTCAAAGTTCACAAGACCTACTTGATCTTTGTGAAACTAATTAGAGTTCAGCTGTCTCATCTTGTGATCTAAGTGTTGATGTTTATTGTGCTTTAATTTGTAAAGACTCCAATAGTAACATGCTTGGCCTGGATAGTTACATTTGTAAAAATTCACCCATTTGTCAGGAAACTAGGTTTGAATCCACAGACTATTCTTTTATGTGCTTTTATTTAGCACCACTTCACTCTACCGCATTTATCTTTGTTCTATATTGCTCTCCTTCATCTCAAGACTGCCCTCTTTTTGATGTTATTTCTGGTCATATTAACTAAGCACTCTCTTTTCATCGACCAGCCAATATTGTTGTTGTTGGTGACTTTAAACCTTTAACAGTCCCGTGTTTTTTTTAAAAATGGTCGCGATTAGTCCAGCTTTTTTTTAAATTCATAGTGTTTTTTAACTAATAGAATAAAAAATGTTTTTTTACTATTTTTAACATTAATAAATACTCCAAAATGTTAATATTCAAGTTTAAGAATATATAAATCATACTATGTAAACATAAAATTTTAAAAATGCATTCACTAATATTCACTTTTTGTATGATAATTGTAAAAAGCAAGGAACTGCAAAAAGTTCTACATCACATTCTACATATTCATATCCTGGACCTTTTTGAATATCGTATTTGTAACATACCGCACACCACCTTTAAGCATTAATCTTTTATTATCATTAATAATCATTCATTAAATATATCTTTTCATTATTGATTCATCAAATGTATAAAATTCTATCTTTTCGTGAGTAAATGTTTACTTTTTGATAATTATTTTTGCACTGAAAGAATTTCCTTATTTGTTATATTTAAAATTAAAGTAAACACGTTTAAAAGACAATTATTGAAACAAAAGCTCTGTAATTATCTGGTAATAACTTTTGTGACAAGTAGACGTATAATAACTGATGAACAAGAAGGAAATATAAAGAGATGGACAAAACCGTAATATTACGCCATAGACATTTAGAAACCACTTTTAGTTTTTGTAATATTATGGCATGGACTGTTAACGGGTTAACGCTCATCACACAAAATGATTTGGCTCTAGTTTCAGTGACTCTGCAGGCATTAAAGCCTACAACTTTTGTCTTTCTTAATCCCTAACTCATATAGTCAATTTTCCGATATGCTTTCCAGACAACTCGGATCATTTACCTTCTCTTCTCAACTTATGTCTTGCTTCTGATCCTAGTCAGTGATGTCTAGCTTCTGATCACAGTTTGATCTCTCTAAAACTATTATGTCATTCTTCTTCATCATCTGAATCTCCCTATCATCGTACCTTTTTCAACTACCTTAAAGGTGACTGGGACTCTTTTGATAATTTTCCTTATAATGGTCCTTGGGTAGAAATCTTTCGTCTTCCTATTAACAAATGTGCTTCTTACATAACCTCTTGGATTCAGGCTGGCATAGAATCTTCAATTTCCTCTTGACTCACATTGTGCTGCTGCAATTTCCAATCGAAACCGTTACTTCCATATCTATCAGCAGAACAATTCTACAGAAAACAGATGTCTGCTTATTACTGCTAAAAACCATAGTAAAAAGGTTTTGTCTAACGCCAAAACCCGCTATTTTCAGGTCATGAAATCTCATATTTCATCACAAAAAATTAGGCTCCAGTGACTTCTGGAGAATCTTAAAAATATCAATAAAGGCAAATCTGTAATTCCACTTCTCTAGTATGGTTCAGACTTTGTCACCTCACCTAAAGACAAAGCTGAATTGCTTGCTAAGAACTTTTTATCATTATCATCTCCCGATTCTACTAGTTGCGTTCTACTTGATATAGCCGACAAACAGGTTGATCCATTGCTTGACATTCCTATCACCCCAGCTTCTGTATCAAAAGTGATTTCTTGCTTAGACTTCTACAGCTTGTGGCCCAGACAGCATACCTGTTACAGTCTTGCAAAAGTGTTCTCCAAGGCTGTCATCTATACTTTCAAAACTATTTAACAAGTGAATAGTTTTGAAAGTATAGACAACATATCAGAGTCGTGTTTTCCAGCCTGCTGGAAAGCAGCATATGTTATGCCTATTTTCAAAAATTCTGGAAACCGATCTGATTCATTTAACTACTGTTCCATTAGTCTTCTTCCTATCATAAGCAAGGTTTTTAAATCTTTAATTAACAAACACTCTTCTAAAGCTTTTGATAAAGTTTGGCATGCTGGTCTTCTCCAGCTTTCTTCTTACTGTGTATCTGGCAACATCTTTGAGATTATTGAACCTTTCCTTTCCAATCGTAGTATAAAAGTTGTCCTCGATGGACAGTTCTCTTCTTTTTATTCTGTAACCTCAGGGGTTCCTCAAGGTTCAATCCTTGGCCCTATACCCTTTACATTAATGATCTTCCAGATATCAACATCTGTCATTATCTTGCTCTGCAATCTTTATCTTTTCTCTTCCAGTAGTTCTAACTCTAATAGCGGTTGCTTGCAGCCTTGTTGAAAGCGAAGATGTTAAAAAAAAAAAGTTTGTTAAGGAAAATCCATACAAAAGGAAAATTGCTTTAAATAGACAGAACCTGTTGTAAAAATTAAATTTTGATTTGTTTTTAAAAGTTCAATAAAATTTTTTTCTTCTTCTCATTAACAATTTTTTTTATCATCAAAATAAAAAAATGAATTGAAGCGTTTTATACAAAGAATTATACGAAGGATATGTAAAAGCTTATTCTTTTAAAAGGAAAGTTGTGGGATAAGTGGTCTTCTGCTGCAACAAAATCCTTAATTTCTCATAAAAGCAAATCAAATTTTGTCGAAATTGATAAATCAAAAACATTGCTCTATGTAATCCCTGATGAAATTGACTTAGTAAACCAAATGACCAAATCAAGTACTGCAGATTCAATCATGCAATGTGCTAAAATAGAGAGAAAAGTTCCATAAGATTCCATCAAGATTCCATAAAACAAGAAATTAACATAATACATGGAAATTTAATTAAGTTGATGAAGAGAAAAGAATGTGAACAATTAACATTTGCGCAAGAAAAAGAACTAATAGAAAAAGAAAAAAAAAATGAACTAGAAAAGAATTTTAAGAAGAAAGAATATTCAATGCAAAAAAGCTGGAAGTCCATAAGTTCAGAAAAAGGAAACTTTAAAAAAGTTATGAGAATTAACACATCCAGCAAAAAGGACTCTCCATCTTTAAATGACAAGTGGGCACAAATCGAAGAAGATTTACTAAAATGACAATGCAGTTGTTAGAAGTACAAAAACGTTGTGAATTGACTGAAACATTGAAAGGTAAGCTTTAATTTTGAGAATTAGGGCTATCTTCAAAAAGTAAATACTTAGACCATATAGTGTGCTATCAGGCTAAGCAAATTGCCTTATTTAGTTGATTATTTATAAAACTTTTTTGACGAAGTTGGTCCTTTTTTTCATCAATGTAAGTTTTGTTTTCAAGTTGCTATTTAATTTGCATTTGATTAATTTATCGATAAACAAACACACTGCTCAATTTATTGGTTTTTGGAAAAAAAAAATTTTTTTTAGCTAGGTTATTAAGTTTGTAGAAGTGGTACTTATCTTTTATTGAATCCAAGAAACAATGCAAATCAAGAAGAAAAGAAGCATATAAAAACTGTCCCAGATAAGTTAACTAGATTCCAAAATGATAAATATGTCAAATTCTGCACAGAAACAATTAGGAAAAGAGATATCATTCCATAGGTCAAAATAAGTTTTTCTTCTCAGTCAGGATTACAAGGCCAGGGAAATGTAAGTTTTTTATTCATTTTTTATTAATAATTTTTCATATCAAGAAAAATTTAACCTACATTTCTATCACGTTGTATTAAGTT